CTGATTGATTCGATGATTAGATTGCGCCCAGATTTACGAGACCAATCCAGATTTGTTGATCATGGTGATTGATTTCTTCCCTTGTTCATCATGAACCATTCGGGCAATCTTCTTTACTTCTTGAACATGATTGCCTGCACATGTATATTATTTGCATCATTAAAACATGATCTAACAATCTCCCTCTTTTTGATGAGGGAAAAATAATATAAGAAGGTAAAGAAGTAAACACCAGTCGACTTCCCTATGTTTTACTAGTCGACTTGACTCCCCCTTAATGTATGCAGTTGACTTGACCTGTCCATGATTCTCCCCCTTAATGTGTGTAGTCGACTTGGACCGACTTGTACCTGTACAATATACAATATATGCTACCTATACACATATAAAATGTGTGCAGTCGTCCTGTACACATACACATATAGACATATAGTCGACTTGTACCTGTACATATACACATAACATAGGCAAAATAACATAAAATAGCATAGGCCTTTTCTCCCCCTTTTTGCCATCAGCAAAGAGTGATTATAAACATAGATAGCAGAAAAGAGATTATCCAGCGACTGGTGAAACAGCCCATAGTAGCAAAAAAAAAAAAAAGAATTATCCAAGGGCTTAAGCCACAGTCCACAATACCACCAAAACAAGTTGTCAAAAAAATAGTTTTGAAAAAACATCCACACTAGCGGCGCAGGAAATAGGTATGGGTGTTGCAGATGGCCTCCTTTAACTGTTCGAAGCTAGTATTTGCAGCGACGCTCATACCATCCAGCCTGTCGTGAACCTCCGTGAAGGCTTTGATAGCATTCTCCCTTACTCTGAGAACAACAACTCTGATTTTTGACACGTCAGACCCTGTTTCCTTTGAAATAGCATGAATGTCAACCACAGTGGATTGAGTGGCGGAAAGAAGATTCTTGATGTCAGAGAGTTTGGATTCAATAGAGCTAAGATTCTCACTAAGCTTAGAACTGACAAGAGTAGGAGGAGGAACAACTGATGAAGGTTTAGTTTCCATAGGGGCCTGCATTGCTTCACTCTCACTTTTCTTAACCCAGGAGCCCTTGATATTCACATAGCCCATACTAGCAAAAGCTCTAGAATTATAGGACTTGAAGACAGTAATGAAGGGATAGTTGGATAGAGAAATTTGATGGGCTTCCAGAATATGAGTGATTGCCATGCCATAGGGTAAACTAGTGGGATCTTCAGCACTTTCTATCATGAAATTGATGATCCAGGAGGAAAGCTTGAGTTTGAGTTTGAGTTTGGTGATGAGGCAGTAGACAAAGAATGTATCCCTTTGAGAGAAGGTTGAAAAGAAACCAGTACGGGGAAGCAGAGTGGTTGCCACAATATGGGCTAGAACCCGAGTTTCAAAACTTACATCACTGGGGCCCAATTGGTTTGGATAAATTTCAGAGGTACACTCAACAATGCACTGTTTGGCTTGGTCAAAAGAAATTCCAAAATTCTCAGGCCACACATTTTTAAAGAGAGTAGGGAAACCAGAGCAGTGACATTGGAAAAGAGAGTCAAACAAGGCACATCAAGAACAATGCGCTTACCTAGCACTAGAGATTCAAGCCTATCTAGTTTACTGGAGCGAAGATTTGCATAAAACATTTTGAGCAAGGGTTCATATACCTTAGGCGAAGGAATAGAGAGGAATTTTTCCAACCCTTGATAAACAAAGAGCTCTTTAACCTTACAGTTGAGGGCTTCTATATCATCAAGATCCACGATCCTTCCATGGGCGACGGGATTGTCCTTAAGAGTAATAAAAAGATCCCTATTTGGGGAATCCCATAAATTTAGGTCAGACTCGAGTGAGGCAGAGAAATCAGCTTTTGATTTCTTTGGGGTGGATGAAATGGGAGGATCTTCCATGGGTCGTTTGCCTAAGGCTTTTTCTCCTAGAAGTTGGGAGAGTTCAGAGAAATAATCCTTAGATGAGGCGGAGCCTTCAGAGTGATCAGCCCCTAGGTCTACTTGCTCAGGAGGCGCAGAAGGGGGTTTTGCCTTAAAGCGGGTACTTTTTCTGGTAGAGGCAGAGGGATTCTTGGAGTGTTTCGCCATTGTAGAAGAGGTGATTTGCTCGAGGTTTTGGAGAGAAGATGGAGATGAGAGTGACTGAGAGGGTTTTCTAACTTAAGAAGAGCGTTTTGACGGTTGAGTACAGAAAAAGAAAAGTTGTCAGTTGAGAAGATATGATGATTGGCTTTCCATCTGCGAACTGATGTGAACGAAGTGAAAAGAGAGGGAAAAAATCGGAGGCGTAATTAATGCGTGGGAAAAGGACAATTATAGCACTTAAAAGTAATTGAGCACATAGGTCCTAAGAGTTATTAGAAAAGCAAATAATACCAAGTAATTTTCTCAAAGTACAAAATCTTTCTTCTAACAAAGGCTTAGTAAAAATATCGACTAATTGAGCAAAGGTGCCAACAAAAGCTATTTCTATATCTCCCTTAAGAACATGATCTCTCATAAAATGATGCTTAATATCTATATGCTTTGCTCTAGAATGATGCACAGGATTTTTTGAAAAACAAATAGCACTAGAATTATCACAAAAAATTTGTATAGGTTTAAACGAAAGCTCATAGTCACCCAATTGATGAGACATCCACAGTAGTTGTGCACAACACTGTCCAATAGCAATGTATTCAGCTTCAGTAGTGGACAAAGCGACTGATGCTTGCTTTTTACTGTTCCAGGATATTAATGCCTTTCCTAGTAATTGACAAGTGCCGCTTGTGCTCTTTCTATCTTCTTTATCACCTGCAAGATCAGCATCTGAAAAACCTTCTAATTTAAAAGAGTTAGAGCGAGGATGCCACAATCCATGAGATACGGTTCCAATGAGATATCGAATGATTCTCTTTACAGCAGTCAAATGTGACTCCTTGGGAGCTGACTAAAACCTGGCACATTTACATACGCTGAACATAATATCTGGTCGACTTGCTGTCAGATATAGCAGTGATCCAATCATTCCCCTATATTTGGTTTCATCAACTGGGGTGCCCTGTTCATCTTTGTCTAGATTTGTAGCGGGGCTCATAGGAGTGCCAATTGATTTTGATTGTTCATACCAAATTTTTGAATCAGTTCTTTTGTATATTTGGTCTGACAAATAAAAGTTCCTTCTTTGGTTTGTTGGATTTGTAGCCCAAGGAAGAATGTGAGTTCACCCATCATTCTCATTTCAAACTCGCTTTGCATAAGATTTAAAAATTCCTTGCACATAAGAGGGTTAGCACTACCAAATATAATATCATCAACATAGATTTGAATAATGAGATTACCTTCTGATGATCGTTTAATAAACAGAGTAGTGTCTATTTTACCTCTGGTAAAGCCATGATCAATAAGAAAAGTACTCAGCCTATCATACCAGGCACGTGGAGCTTGTATCAACCCATACAGTGCTTTGGTAAGCTTGTATACATGGTATGGAAATTTTGAATCCTCAAAGCCTGGAGGCTGTTTTACAAAAACTTCTTCCTCGATAAATCCATTCAAAAAGGCGCTTTTAGCATCCATTTGAAACAGCCCGAATCCTTTAAAGGATGCGTATGCCAGAAGAATTCGTATAGACTCCAAACGAGCTACTGGGGCGAAAGTCTCATCATAGTCGACTCCTTCTTGCTGTGAATAGCCCTGTGCAACTAGTCTTGTTTTATTTCTTATGACCTTTCCATCCTCGTTCAATTTGTTTCTAAATACCCATTTTGTTCCGATCACAGACACATTTTCAGGTTTAGGTATTAGTTTCCACACTTGATTCTTGCTGAACTGATCTAATTCCTCCTGCATAGCTTGCACCCAGCTTGAATCCTTCAGTGCTTCCTCTACCTTTTTTGGCTGAATTTGAGAAATCAATGCAATATTTGCTTTCTTCTTGAGGGCGGCCCTGGTTTTCATTCCTTCGTTTGGATCCCCTATAATAAATTTCTGAGGATATTTGGGTTCGCTTCTCCATTCATTTGGTCGAATTATATTTAAAGTCGACTCAACTTGTGGGTCTGGAGTATTGCTGCTATTTTCTCCAGTTGACTCGATCACCCCAGATGTGCTAGTCGACTCCTGTGAATTTTCTTTGTCCTGAGCTTCTTGAGTTTGATCTTCGTTACCTGCAATAGTTCCTTTCTCGACCAAGGGATTATTTTCATCGAATATAACATGTACAGATTCTTCTACACATAAAGTACGTTTATTGTATACTCTAAAAGATCTGCTATTTAACGAGTAACCAAGAAAAATACCTTCGTCACTTCTTGGATCAAACTTTCCAAGATTATCTTTACCGTTATTGTGAATAAAGCATTTACTTCCAAAGGGATGAAAGTAACTGATATTTGGACGTTTACCTTTCCAGAGTTCATAAGGGGTCTTCTTCAGAATTGGCCTTATGAGACAACGGTTGAGGATGTGACAAGCAGTACTTATGCCTTCTACCCAGAAATGGTTTGGCAATGAATGTTCTAGTAGCATGGTTCTTGCCATGTCTTGGAGAGTTCTGTTCTTCCTTTCCACAACCCCATTTTGCTGTGGTGAGCATGGTGTAGAAAAATTATGAGTGTATCCTTGATCATTGCAGAAGTCTTCAAAAGCTCTGCTTTCAAATTCTCCTCCATGGTCAATCTGAATTTTTGAGATCAGATATCCTTTTTCTCTTTCAGCCTTTTTGCAGAAAACTTCAAAATTTCTTAAGGCTTCATCCTTATGAGACAAGAAGATTACCCAGGTAAAATGTGAAAAGTCATCAACAATAACAAAAGCATACCTCTTACCTCCTATGCTGGCAGTTCTAGTAGGCCCAAATAAATCCATATGAAGTAATTGCAAAGGTTTTGAAGTAGATACTATATCTTTATTTTTGAAAGAATTTCTGGTTTGCTTACCCTTTTGACATGCATCACAAATATGAGTTCTAGAGAAATTCAGTTTAGGCAAACCAATAACTAAATCATGTTTGGACAGTTTTTCAATCAATGCATGCTAGCATGGCTAAGTCTTCTATGCCATAACCATGGATCATCAGACATAGAGGATAAGCAAATGTGGCTATCTATCTTTTCAAATCCATCAAGTATATAAACATTTCCATACCTTTTTCCAAGAAGAATTATCTTACCTGATTCGTCTTCAATATCACACCCTATTCTTTTAAACTTTACCTCATATCCTGAGTCGTAGAGTTGACTTATGCTCAAGAGATTGCAGTTTAGGCCACCAACGAGATATACTTCAGTAATGTCACAGTTGTTATTGAAAGGAATTGTTCCAGTGCCAACTATTTTGCTCCTTGAATCGTCTCCGAATTTTACACTTCCTCCATCGATCTTTGTAACTTCCTTGAACAGGTTTTTGTCACCTATCATATGACTGGAACACGCACTATCTAGATACCATTTTCCTTTGCGGCTTACTCTGTGGTGTTCCTGCAAGACAAGCTGATCACTTTCTTTTAGGTACCCAAGCTTGCCTGGGTCCTGGTGGGTTAGTGTTACTAGGTTCAGAATTTTTTTGTTTCCAAACCCAACTGATACATTTGATTTACGAAAGTGACAACCAGAATATTTATGCCCACTTTTATTACAGTAATGACATTTAGCTCCAGACCTGTTTATAGGTCTTTCATAGGTGTTAGAACTAGCCGACTTAGATTTAGCTGGTTCTGTCCCAGTTGACTTGTAAGTCATCTGGTTCGACCGACTGGTTGACTTGGTTCTGATTGGTTCTTTTCCAGTTGACTTTTAAGTCGTCTGGTTTGACCTAACAGAACTATGACTGGTGGATTTGCGCAAGCTGTTAAGCTGCAGTTGCAACTCCTCAAACTCTTCTTGAAGTACTTCTTTTTCGATTTCACATACTTTATGTTTGAGTTTCCAGTCTTTAACCTCCCTAGTGAGTCTCTTAAGTTCATTCATCATTTTTTGAGACTCTTTTAAGGTTGAATCAAGAATATCCTGCAATTCATTACATCTTTCGCAGTCATAAGATCTTACCTCACTACTTTCACCCCGTGCCATGAAGCAGTTCTCGTCATCTGAATCATCTTTATCTGTCCAGCATCCTGAGATTTTGTTTATTTTATTTTCCAGAATTATCATGAAACAAAGATTTGCTATTTCTTTGTGGTCTGAGTCATCCTCATCGCTCCAACTTCCGAAGGATTTGTTATTGTTGAAGCCTCTAGAGATCTTTCTTTTCAGTTCTGGGAATTCAGCTTGAATGTGCCCAAATTTTCCACATTCGTAGCATTTTCCATCGTTCTTATCCTGTTCATTGTATTGCCTAGATCGTCTTGGTGGGAATCTTCCTTTCTTTGTATTTCTGTATCTCCTCATCAATCCATCCATATTTCTAGACATCATAACAATCTCTTCTTGTAGAGCTTCAGGATCATCAATTTCATTTTCAGCCATTTCAGTAGAGGTTTTGAATGCAACTATTTTCTTTTTCTCCTCTTGATTTGTCTTTTTTAAATGTGTCCTTTCGAAAGCAATGAGTTCTCCTCGCATTTCATCATAGGACAATTTATTTAGGTCTTGAGATTCCAAAGTGACTACTTTGGTCTGCCAAGTGGTTGGCAGACTTCTGAGAATTTTTCTGACTTGATCACCATTGGTGTAGGGCTTGCCAAATGCCTTTAAGCCACTAATTATCTTACTAAACCTGGCAAACATTTCTTCAATAGATTCTCCTTCTTTCATTGAGAAGAGTTCGTAGTCATGAACTAGCATGTTGATGTGAGTTTCCTTTACTTTGCTGGTTCCCTCATAGGTGACCTCAAGTTTATCCCACATCTCTTTGGCTGTATCACAACTCGATATTTTCTCGTATTCCTCACCACTTATAGCATTGTGAAGCAGATTCCTTGCCTTGTTATTCACTTGCACCACTTCCAGTTGCTCCTTTGAGTATGAATCTATATCATCAGGATCAGCAAGTGGTGGAGTGCTAGCAGGTAGGGGATAGTTTCCCTTTTTAATGACTCTCCAGACTTTGACATCGTATGCTTTAGCAAAGATTTCCATTCGTACTTTCCAGTGAGAGAAATGTTGTCCATTGAAGTAAGGAGGTCTAACTTGTGAAGTTCCTTCCCGAAAGAGGGCTCCTATGATAACTTGATTTGCCATGATCTTTTCTCACAAGCTGTTAAGCAAAAGGTAAAATGAAAGCCAAGCTCTGATACCAATTGAAAGTACAAGAGGAGGGGGGGGGGGGGGTGAATTGTAAATCCTTCAAATTAATTACTTATAAGTTGACTTAAAACTTAAGTAGTCGACTGAATATGATAATATAGCAGATATGGTAACGAAAAGTAAAATGCAGAGAATAATTGCAGGAATTAAAAACACCGGAATTTTTATACTGGTTCGGATTCAATGTGAATCCTAATCTAGTCCCCTTGGGTTGCAAGGGAGTTCTCTTCAGTAAATTAGTTTCTTCCGAGTATAGATGTGGTGTATATCGCTCAGTTTCTCTAGCACTCATTTTTGATACAATGCCTCACCAGTTGTGTGCTCTCTTTCTATCCCTGACTTGTTACACAGCAGATCTTAGTGAACTACAATGCTTGTTTGCAGTAGAATAAAGAGAGTGATTTGGTTTGATCAAAGTATATCTAAGCTAGGGTTTACACGGGTGTATAAATACTTTGATGGATGGAACAATAATAAAAATAGTGCATTTCAAACCAAGCCATCATATGATTCGTTCTTCCCATTGAACCTGGTTATAGGATCTCTAGTCTCCAGGTTAGGTTTCCTCATATATGACTTATGATCTTACGGGCTTCAATCTCATCTCGCTCGATGTGCTCTAGACCCTTTCTCTTGCTAAGGCCTGAGTCAATGGATCTGCAAGATTATCACAAGATTTAACATAATCAATATTAATCGTACCACTTGTCAAATATGATCTCATAGTATTGTGTTTTCTCCTTATAAGTCCGAATTTATCGTTGTAATAATGGTTTTGTACTCTACTAATTGCAGCGGTGCTATCACAATTAATTAAAATAGGAGGAATTGGTTTTTCAAAAAGGAATTTGAAATAATAAATCTCTCAACCAATTCACTTCCTCACTAGTTGAAGCTAAAGCAATTAGCTCAGCCTCCATGGCAGAGTTAGCAATTATTGTTTGTTTTTTCGATTTCCAACAAATATCACCACCTCCCAAAGTAAAATTATAACCTATAGTAGAACAAGAATCACCATATAAAGTGATCCAATCTGCATCAGAAAGCCTTTCGTACAGCAGGATATTTTTTATAAAATAAGCCATAGGTTTTTGTACCAAGTAAATACTTCATAACTCTTGTTATGGCATGCAATATTCATTACCTGTCTTGCTTGTAAACCTGCTAAGTACTCCTACTGCGTATGCAATATCAGGCCGAGTACAATCAGTCACATAACTCAAGCTTCCAGTTAAGCTAGCATATTCCTTTTGATTTATCATATCATTGTCACTTCGTACAGGAAATAAGTGAACACTTGAATCAAAAGGGGTTACAACATGCTTGCAATTAATAAAATCATATTTTTTTCAAAATTTTCTCAACATAATGTAACTGGTCAAGGAAAATTCCATCACATGTTCTAGTAATCTTCATTCCAAGAATGAAATTTTTCTCACCCAAATCTTTCATGTCAACATGGCTACTAAGCATGCTTTTAGTTTCTCCAATAACATTCATGTTAGAGCTAAATATTAATAAATCATCAATATAGAGGCAAACAATTACATGTGAATTATTTCAAGACTTATGATAGAAGCACTTATCACACTCATTTGATTTTAAACCATTTTCAATCATGCAGGAATCAAACTTTTCATGTCATTGCTTAGGTGCCTGTTTCAAGCCATATAGGGATTTAGTAAGTTTACACACTTTCTTGGCATGCTTCTATTAAACCCCCAGGTTGATCCATATAAATTTCTTCATTTAGGTCCCCATTTAGAAAAGCAGTTTTTACATCCATTTGATGAATATGAAAATCAAAAATTGCAGCAATAACATTTAAAAGTCTAATGGATGTAATAGTTACCGGAGAAAAAGTATCAAAAAATTCTAAGCCTTCTAGTTGCTTAAAACCTTTAGCAACTAACCTAGCTTTATACTTATCAACAAATTCATCCGGTTTTAACTTTTTTCTTAGGACCCATTTGCACCCAATTGTTTTACATCCTGGTGGTAAATCAACCAACTTCCAAGTTTTATTAGAAATTAGTTACTCCATTTCATCATTTACAGCCTCTTTCCAAAAAATAGCATCAGGTGACAATAAAGCTTCTTGTAAAGCAAGAGGGTCATTTTCAATATTAAAAACATAAAAATTGGTACTAAAATCTTTTTCTATTCTATCTCTTTTACTTCTTCTTAACTGAAAAGCATCATTTTCATTTTGCAAAATAGAAGTAGAAGAACTAAGCATACACAAAAATTTATCTTTATCTCTCTGACCTCCACTATTTTTAGACTCAAATGGGAATTTATTTTCATGAAAAATAGCATCACCTAATTCTATAATTATATTCTCTTCAAGATTTAAAAATCTCTAGGCTGTACTATTAGAACCATAACCAAGAAAAACACAAGTGATAACTTTTTTACCCAATTTTATAATTTTAGGATCTGTTAGCCTAACATAGGCTAAACAACCCCAAACTCTAAGATAACCCAAATTTGGCTTGTGATTTTTTCACAAATCAAATGGTATCAATTTTGTTTTCTTATGAGGCACCATATTCAACACATAACATGCAGTCAAAATAGCTTCACCCCACAAATTTAAAGGTGCATTTGACTCAATAAGCATGGCATTAGTTAACTCTACCAAAGTTCTATTTTTTCTTTCAGCCACACCATTTGATGCAGGAGAATAAGGTGGAGTAGTTTCATGAATTATTCTCAATGATGTCACGAAAGAGTTAAATTCATTAGACTCATATTCACGGCCTCTATCACTTCTAATTCTTTTTGTTTTTCAACCTCATGGAGATAATTTTTAAAATTTTCAAACGCATTACTTATATTTTTATCAAGTAAACATATGTGTACTTAGAGAAATAATCAATAAAATTGATAAACTATTTATTTCCTCCACGAGTTAAAATTTCTCCAATTTCACAAATATCAGTGTGAACTAATTCTAACAATTCAGTTTTTCTTTCAACATGGAAATGAGGTCTTTTAGTTATTTTAGCTTTACTACAAGCCTCACATTTTTCAAAATTCTTTTTAATCATTGGTATTGATCCTAAACTACTCATGATTCCCACATAACTATTATTAATATGACACAAACGAGCATGCCAAAAATTAGTTGAAGAAAACATATAAACAGAACTAGAAGAAGTTTTATTCATCTCAACATTCAACTTGAACATCCCATCACATGCATACCCCTTACCCACAAAAGTATCCTTTTTCACTATTAAAAATTGATCACTTTCAATAATTTGTTTGAATCCTGCCTAGTTAAAAAGAAAATTAGAAATCAAATTTTCTCTCATTGAAGGAGTATAAAGTACGTCTTTCAATGCTAATACTCTTCCTGTAGGAAACTTCAACTCGACCTTTCCCTTTCCAAGTACCTGGTTGTGTGAGAATCACCAAGCATGTTGGTTTTGGGCTCCTCAAATGGAGTATATACTTTAAACCAATCTCTATCATAGCAAACATGACGGTTTGCTCCAGAATCAGCCCACCATCCGTCAACATTTTCTACCATGTTAATGTCTGTTATCACCGCCACAAGTGGCTCTTCGGTAACGTTTTCCTGCGATGTAGGACCACGTTTTTGAAATTTATAAAATCGAGCAATATTTCCTCTCTTGCCACAGACAAAGCATGGTTTTGCAATTTGAACTTTTTGATTTTGTGATTCATTGTTTGCACTATTATTCTTCTTGGGAGGTCTACCATAATTTTTCTAAAAAGCCTTCTTCTTCGGCTTCAAAGAAGTATTTTTGTGAGTTTTAGGAGTAATATTGTTTGAAGTAATTAAATTTACCTACGTAGTGACGGGTTGTAGATTGCTCTCTTCTGATTGCATAAGTGCATCTTGGCCTCTTGCCTTTTCTTCCATGGAATCCGCATTATCAACGTCTCAAGTGAAGTTTCCTTTTGTTTGGGGCGCATAGTTTTTTGAAATTCCTTCTATGAAGGTGGTAGTTTATCTATTATGCAACAAACAATAAGGTTGTCTCCAATTTTAATATCCTCGGACCTGAGCTCTCCAACGATCATTAAGAAGTCTTGAGCTTGGTCTACTACAGATTTGTTGTCCACCATTTGAAAACGAAAAAATCTGCTAGCAGCATATTTCTTTGCACCTGCCTCCTCAGTATCATACTTACTCTGTAATGCTTTCCAAATTTTCTTTGCAGTTGAGTAAGTTCTATCATATTAATCATAAAAATTACCAGATAGACAATTAAGGAGATAATACCGACACTTGTATGAATCATCATTGTATTTTTCAATTTTTTCTTGAAGGGCAATTAGCTCATCGTCATTCATGGAAGAATTGTCTACTTTGCTTGGATTCTTCTCAGTTAAAACGTAAGAAACATTGAGAAGATTCAAATAAAAAAGTACTTTACCCTTCCATCTCTTGAAATGGGTACCGTTGAAACGGAATGGCTTGTTGAGATCTCCCACCTTGATATTCGTAGATTTTCAACTGTGACCATAATGAATCTCCTTAAAATTGTTGGTGAAAATACAATTACAGTTGAAAACTAAAATGAAGAAAATAAAATATCTTCAGGGTGAAGCGCGGATATCTCGCTCTCTTTAAGGAGATTCAAGCCCACTGCAGTAAAGTCTTCACTGGTCCAGCAGTAATCTTCTTTACTTGTCTCCCCCGTGATACAACAGTCCGATAAGTTATTGAGTCCAAAGCTCCACCAAGATGAACACCTTCCTTTAACAAAAGTAAAAACTCTCTTCTTCTTTTTTCACAATTTTATTGAAACACTCTACAATTATTTTTCTCACACCACATTATGGAAGAAAGATTC